ACCTAATAGGCTAGACAAGATCAGGCAGCTCTAAACCCATGTCAAGCATCACCTGCTATATTGTTTCCAGTTAATGGATTGTATATATTTTATTAGGTCCTTCATTTAAAATGACTATTTTCAACAATGATTAAATCTTCACAATCCCAAACTACATACAAACAAACCACAACCTTTGCAATATTTACTAAATGAGTGCCTCTTTTCGCTCAAAGGAAATTTATTTGCATATTGTTTCTTTTTTTAATGAATAAGAATGTACAACATTTTGCAGTATTTTGGTATATATTATCACTAACCTATGTGGAATCTATACAGCTAATATAGAAGATATAATGAAATATAAGAAGTTCAAATTAAATATACACACTGAAAGGAAAGTATATACATAGAACACATATATAGAACACAAAGCTGGACATTGTGTACATTAAAACTTGGATTATAATTAAATATTATGCAGAAAATCCTATTAAATGCCAAATTAAAAAAATCACTGTGAAGAAGTATTTTACTTTCTCTTCCTCGTGTTTGAAATCACCTTGTTCAGGCTACTGGATAAAACATGAAAAAACCTGAAGCAAACAATCACTGAAAGAAATGAGCTGAAATGCAGTTCAAGTCTCTCTGGCAGAAGGTTCCTGAAAGCATCTGCCTATCAAGGCCAACAGGAAGAGTGCGTTTGGATACAGCAGACAAGGAGGATGAAATTACTCCACTGGGCAGCACTCTGACAAGACTGGATACACAGAGGCTATCTGGGAAGAGGGCTTACATATCGAACATAGTGGTCAGTGGTCCTTGAATTTTATTTTGAGAAAGACGTGATTGAATTTTTTTTTCTTTTATGCCAAACCACTTACATTACATAAGACAAGCAGGTACTTATACTGTATCTACATTGGTTTAGAAATCTGCATACTGTATATTTTGTACAACTGGAAAAATCTATAAAATGACTGCTTAATAATGTGAAGTGCAATGATGGCGTCAATAATTCAGAAATAAAAATCAGATTACTTTCAAATGACATTAACTAAAGGATTATTGTTGGCCATGTTCGCACTGTTTCTAAAGATGAAAAGGTTCACAGATTTTTGTAGTTTACAGTTTTAAAGGGGGGAGTGTCCTACCTGCCTACTAAAAAAGTAAAGAAACAAAAAATGAAGCGATTTCCATAAAATGTGGAACAAATAAGCCCTTCTGAATAGAGAGAGATGGATTTCCATATATTAAGCTGCTCTATGTCTTTGGGTTATTTAACATTCTTATGTATGTGAGGAACAGAATTAAAACTATAAATGTGACCCCTGCCCCTCCGACAGAACCATGCGCAGTTAAAAGCAGACATGCCTGTAAAACTTTCAAAGAAAGCTGAAGAAAAAACTGACATTAAAAGCTGGCTTGGAATTGATTGATGCACTCTAATATTTGAAGTTCACTTGCTGCCCTATGCTACAAAGCCCGGGGGTTAGTACGAGTGGCTCTCTAATGAGAGCCTGTGTGAACACTTACTGCTTTATAGGACTGACTTTCATCGCTGAGCGGGAACGCTCTCATGGCTGCTAGACTCCAAAATCAGATCTACACAGAAAGCAACACGCTCCATTTGGCCTCTGAAAGGTGGGTTGAACAAATCTTTGTGAATTTCTGAAGCATTGGCCTAGCGGTGCGGGCGCTGGGTGTGCGGCCCTCTCTTCTGTAGGCAAAACCCGATTTGTTTTCACTCGGCCAGCGCGCAATCAGCGTCCGCTGGCGGAATAAACAAAATCCCGGAATCTCGGCAGCCCGTAGGGGCTCAGTGTGTCGGGAGCCTAACGATTTGGACCTCTCCTGCTTCGTCTCTGTCGGGGAGATCGACTCGGAGAGCACTAAGGCTTCTCACTCAAACAAACAACATCTAAAATTCCAAAACAGATTGCACTACCATGAATCATTGCCTTTCCTATTACAACAGGGCTGAAAGAAAGTCAGGCCACGGGACCCTTCAACCTTTCATTCCGCCTCGTATCCTGGCATTTGCTGGGAAATGCAGAAAATGCAGGTGTGATTAATTTCCTCTTTTTCAAGGGAAAAGAGTGAAAAGAGAGAATCGTCAGCGTGCACCGCAAGGAACAACTTCAGCAGAAGGGGAATAATCAGATGTGGTGAGTGTGGTAACATTGCACTCTGCAGGATCCGTTGCTATTTTCTGTCCTTTTTCGAAGCAAAGTCTGCAAAAAGTTTTCTTTTTAGCTGTGGCTGTTCTAATATAGTTATGCATAGCATGGCCAAAATTTACAGATTGCCTTTATATACGATGTTTCCCTCAGAAATGCCCTCTAGTTAACACTAAAAGATATGATGTTCAGGGATCACAAAAGAAGAAAAAAATAAGCTTCTATAATTCAATTTAAATATCTTCCGCCCACACTAAAGGAGTACTGCAAATGTGAAAATTGGCCGATATCTTTATAGTTCAACATACAAATTGCACCAGTGATGTCTAAATGAGATGCAGTTCTGTGTTCTTTCTTTTCTGGGGTTGTCCATTATATTGAATTACAAATGATGTATACATACATTTTTAAATGAATGTTTTCAATCAAAATTGAATGTTCCAAACACTTTTAAAAATGTGTTACAGCCAGAAATAAGTTTAGTGTCAGCAACAACTACAAGCAGAAATCAAAAACTAAAATATGTTGATTGCGTAAGTATTCATACCCTTTACTGTACCAAACCTAAATTAATTCAAGTGGATAGAATTACCTTGATGAGCCACACAGTTAGTTGAGTTGCTTCTTTCTGTGTGCAGTAATAGTGGTGCACATAATTTCAGATCAATATGGCTGCTCCCTCAAGGTCCCTCAGTTAGAATAAAATATATTCTGGAGAATATATCTGAAGAAAGGGTTTGAATAATTATTTCAAACATATATCCCTTTAAGCACAGTGAAGTCAATCAATGAGAGGTGGAATGTGTGTCATACCACCCAGAAACGGCCTAAACAGAACAGCCGGGCAAGAAGGACCCAAGAAGTCAGGAATGCCATAGCAATCCCACCAGGCACCATGACAGGAAAAACCTACAGAGGATAATGAGCTGAGAGAAAATGACCATGAATCAAAAATATTCCAGCCACTCTACAAAACTGGCCTGCATGACTGAGTGGTAAACCCACCTCAAATCCTGCATGGAATCCGTCATAAAACATTTTAAGTGATACTACAAATATGTGGCAAAAGGTTTTGTGGTTAGGAACAATGAAATGTAAACATTTCAGTCTAAACATTTCGGTCTAAGCCAGCAGCCGCATCACCCTGCAGCTCCCAGCTCCCAGCTGGCAGCCCACTGGAGCTCAGCAGGTGTGAGCCTGGCCAGTACCTGGATGGGAGACTCCTGGGAAAAATTAAGGCTGCTGCTGGAAGAGGTGTGAGTGGGGCCAGCAGGGGGTGCTCACCCTGCGGTCTATGTGGGTCCTAATGCCCCAGTATAGTGACGGGGACACTATACTGTAAACAGGCGCTGTCCTTTGGATGAGACGTAAAAATGGGGTCCTGACTCTCTGTGGTCATAAAAATCCCAGGGCTTTTCTTGGGGTGTAACCCTGGTGTCCTGGCCAAATTTCCCATTGTTCTTTACCAGTCATGGCCTCCTAATAATCCCCATCTCTGAACTGGCTTCATCACTCTGTCCTCCTCCCCATTGAGAGATGGTGTGTGGGGAGTGTACTGGCGCACTATAGCTGCCGATGCATCATCCAGGTGGGGCTGTACACTGGTGGTGGTGGTGGAGGGGATCCTCATTACCTGTAAAGTGCTTTGAGTGGAGTGTCCAGAAAAGTGCTATATAAGTATAAGCAATTATTAAAAAATGTCACATATTCTATTTGGCGCAAGCAACACAGTGCATCAGCCACTCAACATGATCCCTGCTGTCAAGCATGTTGAGGGCAGCGTTACACTATGGGGCTGCTGCTGATCAGCAGGGACCAGGGAGTGTGTCAGAGACTGAGGGAGAAAGGAATGGAGCAAAGCACAGGGAGATCTCACTGGAAAACCTGCTACAGTCTGCTAAAGACTTAAACTGGGAAAGAAGGTTCAGCAGGACAGTGACCCAGCGGCAGCACGAGCCCAAAGTTACACTGGAGCGGTTTCTAACAAGAAGGAAGAGAATGTCCTTGACCGGCCCCGTCGAGGTCCTGAATTGAATCTGATGGAACGTCTGTGCCAAGACTTGGAAACTGCTCTCCAGGTACAATCCCTAACCTGCCTGTCAGGAGCTCGTGCCATGTGCCTGGAAGAATGGGTGAAAACACACACCCTCCTGGTGTGTCATGCCGTTAGAGTCTTGTCCAGAAAGACTCACAGCTGTAATTGATGCCAAAGCCGCTTCCCTCAAGAACTGATTCAAGAAGAGGAAGGACTGTGCCATGAATTTGTACTTAATTATTTTAGCGGAGGGTTTTCAATTTGAGCATTCAGGTTTTGATTCAAAATATTCACTTTAAAAAAAAAGGATGAACGTCGTTCGTGGTTCAGCTAAACAAGACAGCAGTGGCATACTTTTTGCCAGGCACTGAATGTAATTCATCTAATTGATTATACTAATTATACAATAAAAGCAAATCCAATACACATTTGCAGTACTATGTTGCAATACTGTTGCGCCTTAAAGGCGGAGAATAGCAGGAGGCTGAAAACTACACAAATGTGGTGGTGTTGAAGGAAAGGAGACGAACTGGAGACAGAGCCTCTGTTGATTAGAAAGCACTAGAAAGCACTAGACAGCACATTAGACAGCACTAATTCAGGTCCTCAAATGATCCCCCTGCATTTCCCCTTTGGCAACACTGTTTTTCACCAAAACGTGAGGAAACAGTTACACCGGAGCCAGCTCCTAAACTGCGCTTTCGGTAAGGAGCAATGAAGCCCAGGCAATGTCTTACACTGGCCACGCACTGAGGAAAATGAAAAGGGTTCAAGCAACGTGTTTGTGCACGAAGAGGGGTGGGCACCTGACTCTAGGAACTGCAAGTGTGAGCTCCGTCTCTGCAGGAAGGTCTTTGGATAGCAGTTAAGGTTACCACTGTCCTCTTGCTGCTCATTTGTTCCCCAACTGCAGAAAAAAAAAGCAAAAGGTCTAACCGCCACATAAACTAATTTCAAATGTCATGTCTTATTAGGAGAAAATGGAAGGAAAGTCTTGCTCGCTCCCTGGCCGAGTCAATGAATTTGTCAAAATTTTATGATAATTCATTCAATTATTCCTCAGACATTTAAATGACAGAACAGGCCCTTGCAAAGGCGGAAAAAAATCCCCAATAATCCCGTGCTTGATATTAAACTGCCTCCAGAGAGGTTTTAACTGCACCGCATCTCAGCACGGAGGCAGCGAAAAGTTCTCTGCCCCCTCCTCCCCTCGCGGTCTGCCCGCCCCTGCCTTTCAGGAGCACCACAATAAATGGGCTCTCCGCTGTTGCCAGCCTCCTGACCTTTGAACTGCAGCTGTCTGAGGCCTCTGCTCTGGCTCGTTCAGGCCGGCAGCAGCAGGGTCGCTGTCACTCCCGGGTGCCTCCCGAGCTCCGTGCTCCTGCACAGCTCAGCTCCCCCTCTAGCGTTCAGAGCCCTCCATGGAAGAGAGAGCTAACCGCGGAGGGAAATTCCGGCCGCCTTATTAAATCTGGGGGAGTCTGTGGGAGTGCGAATGTGGCTGTGGGTGTGTTTATCTGTGCGGCTCTTTCTCATACTGGTTTATCGCGGTCCTTAGGCGGGGTGTAGACGGGGTTGAGCTCAGGGTGTGTGTGTGTGTGCTGGGGGGGGCAGCGTTCTTTCTTTTCACTGCACATGTGAAATTTTGGCACAAAGTCGGAAGTTTTTCGATTTTTTATTAATTTAATAATATATCGTGTTTTCTGTGCTTGCTTCTGTATCAATAAAGCACTTTGCTCGTTCATTTACCATTGATTTCAGTCTTCTGCACATAGGGAAAGACACCTCTCAGTGGTCTGTTTGCTGCCTCTTTGATGCTGATGAATTTACTCATGATGAAATAAACACTTTCATTAAATGCCTGTTTTTTACCATGAGATGTCTTCATACAAAGACTTTCCTGTATTTCAAAAAACGGTTTGTTCAGTGCTCTCTGACCTCTGCTACAACCAAATATGCAGATATTTGGTCAGCAGAAACAAAGGCCCCTTTAAAGCCTTAAGCCTCCTGAAAAAGAAGAAAATAAGCATTTTAATTTTCAGAAGCCATAATATACAGTATAAAGCTACTTTTTATGAATAGCTTTGAAACAGTTAAAGATGTCTTTTTTCCTTCTGTTGTGGAAGGATTTCTTGCAAAAAATGTTGGGGAATGTTGTAGGAAAGTGTGACTATTTTATTTAAACAAATCTGACAGGATACCAGAAATCTGCCTAAGGCCTCAATGCCGTCATTCCTATACAAAATATATTCAATGATAATCTATAATGTAGCTGGTTAGAGTGTTACGCCAGTATGAGGAAGTCTGCATTAAATAAGACTGTGGGCACTACTCTGCCTCTGTGTAATGTCTTATTTTTTAAAACTTGTCAGTGAAAAAGCATATCGTCATCTCTAAAGTAGGCCAAATTTTCAAAAAGAAAGAAATAATCTTTGTAGAAATGAAGAATATGTGGTGCCAAAAGTAGGAATGAAATTCTTCAGAATTTATACGGTATATTTTAAAAAGCCCCTTAACAACTCAAAATGCAGCAAACTGAACAAAATAACGTCTGCCTGAATGAAAAGTAGTTCAAACTGAACGATATAATTCAAACAGTAATGCTCATCAGTATCTGTAATTTCACCAGATTTTGATTAAAAAAACAGAAGGAATAAGATTACAATTGTCAAAGTCAAAGTCAGTAGAAAGATTTCTGCCTGGTAATATAATGCCTGAAGTCAAAGTTATTCTAATCCAGAACCTTTCAAAAACAAAATTTAGGGTGTACATAAAAGATTTACAAAAATACAGGGATAAATTGATGGCTGGAACCAAACACAATAAACTACATGGGATGAAATAAGTACAACTGCACTTTTAACTGGGAGGTTATATACCTGTTTAACGGCTTTTTTTATAGTCATTTATTGCACGCAACTGGGTTCTCTTAAACAAATGTGGTCTGGCTCACACAGGGAAAGGCCTGAATCACAGAGCTTGAATGGACACTAATTGCTTTTTTCTTTTTCCCAAATTAGCAGCTACTTTCACTAGAATTTAATCTCTCTATTGGCTGCTTTCTGTAGGTGCGAGGGCAGAAAAAAACTAGAAACAAACCAATAATCTTCCACTTTGCCCCTTAAATGAGAGCCACTCTATAGCTCTAATGTAGACAAGTCATTTTGTACAAGCCACTAGACCCACAGAGGATAGGGGCCTACAATGTAGGCTGCTCAATTCAAAGATCTTTTGCAATCAGTTACACAATGGAGCCCCTCATTTTATGCTGCTACATCATAAAAGTGCTTCTTTTGTTACATTTCCATCCTTAAAAGGGTCTTAATCCTTTTCTTTTCAGGCGAGTCTATGGCAAATTCCACAGGGACATCCCATTCGCTGTGAGGATTGAAGTGACCCACTCAGAAATCAGCATGCGAAGCTTTGAGCCTTTCTTCCCCCTGCCACTCTCCTGAGAACATTAAATCGTACTTTTCATTCCCTTCACCATAGGGGGAAACCCCTTAATGATGACAGAGAAAGAAAAATTCCTCCACTCTGTCCTATGATACCATTCTGCTGTCAAGCAGGCGTCTCACTGGACAGAGAATCAAACATGTCTTCCAGCAGGTGGAGTGTTGCTGAAGGTCACACACAGAAACACAACGGCAGCACATCAGAGGAAGCACAGATTCCCACAGCAAATTAAGTCATCTGTGAAAACTTTTCATTTAACGGTTAGGGACTAAATTTATTGGGGGAGCTTTTCATGTTGGCCAACATGTACACTACTTGCATATCTACAGCAAACATGTTCCACATGGAGAAAAAAGATCCAGAGTGATTCACTCTCACTGACTCAGTCTCGAGATGTGTCTTTTCCCAACTTCCCTATTCTCTCTTTCTATCTACATGAATCTCTCTCTCAAATGCTTATGAATCAAGTTAAAACCGATCCACGTTGCTGAAACGGCTGGTCCCTACAGATTGCATACAGTGCTGTATATGCTGGGCACTGGGTGCTTCAAACAGAGGTGAAAAGAAACATCATATTTAACGAAACATATGTCAATCAAGAGTTAAATAGTCTGATCTATTCAGTCATTGGTATACTTTGAGAACTTTTCCAAAAGTAGAATGAGTTAATGGAGATTTTCATCATGTGTTTTTTTTCATGATTTTAAACACTCAAAAACAAATGCCCCAAGAATGCTAAGAACTCTCAAAAAGAAGGGTCTCAAGAAACCCCAGATGATTTCTGGGTGGTTGTATGCACAATTCTCAAGTTGGCTATACTTTTTCAATTGGTTGTAACCAATTAATATATCACCATATTTATTAGCTTTATAGTCGTAGATAGCAATAACAAAACAAAAAACATAAGCAGACCCAAAAGTGATGTCCAATTAGCATACACTCTGCGGAGGTACAAACTTAACGTACTGGGAATGTAAAACTGTCAATTTTTCCAGGAGTTACTTTTGCTTCTGAAATGTGACATATTATTTGTGATTGGTATTATAATAACTAATGACATATTTAAAAATGAATGTAGCAGACAGTCAAAAAGACTGTGACTTATAAATTTATCATTGTCGCAGAAATAAATTTACACAGTGATCGTATTTATGTCATAGATGTGTCTTGGCATAAAATGTATGTACTGTATGGGAGATTTTGTGAAATATAACTAGTCCGTAAATAAAACAGTGGTTGGTTGATATGTTTTTTGTTTGTTTAAAGAACACTTTGACCTTTAAAAAGGATGACTTTATCTAATGAGCTAGACTGTGATTTGATTCAGCGGTGTCGATACATCTGTTGCACTTTTAAAATGTCTACAGGAGCAGCCCACTATGAACAAAACCGGGTAGGAAAAAATCTTTGGATTTAGGTTCAGAATACGAGCTACTGGCAAGGTGACCAAAGAATAAATTATTGTATGGAGACATAAAGCGTTAGCATATTATAAAGCTATATTAAGCTTTGCCTCGATTAAGACCAATTATCACTAATAACAACTGATATATGCGCTACGTCCATTAATTTAGCTTGAGTTATGGTTCCTAGTGCAGTATCACACAAAATGGCCAGTTTGTAGCAATGAAATGTTTCTTCAGAACAACTAGAACCTCCGGCTCCTCTCCACACTGGGTGCATCAAGGAACTTCACTCATTTCACAGCTTTGTATGAGTGATGCACATCACCAGGCAATGAATCTGGAAGAAGTCAAGCAGTGTTCTTTCCCACGTGTGTGCAGATAGCACGCGCGCGTGAAATACAGGGGCCCCCAGTGACCTTGAAGGAATGTCAGCTGCTAACTTATGCAGGTCAGGCATGTAACGCAGATAACCTGAAGCTTCCTGGGACAATAACTGGGATTGCGAGAGATGGAGGTGCAGGAGGTGTTTCGAATGGTTATAAATTTTTAAAATGGTCAGACAAACTTTTGAACCTTTTGGATTTTTTAAAGTTTAGGTTGGTGATGAAGGAGAGCAAGCAAAAGGCACACAGTCCGTCTGTTAAGAGCACATACTGTATTACATAACAAACATTAAACAATAAGGTATTGAGCAAACACTCTAATGCATTCTCTGCGATTTCAAAACTTAATCAAGGATATGTTCCAATTTCATCATTTTTACACAGCCTTGGAGACTTAAAACAGTAAGCAAAATAAAGAACAGAATTCTTCAAGATACTACAAGATACAAATATTTCCAGTGCACTACTTCAGAATATTTAGCTCCTCAATTATTTAATCAAATCAAAAGTCAAATGAACATCAATGAATCAGTGTCGTTACCCCAAAAAAATAGATCTACAATAAAAACGGTGAAATGAAAAGCACGTTGAAGAGATATTAAGAAATACAAATTAAATAAATGAACAGGAAAAACACTTAATTACTTAGATTAAATGTTTATATCTCTAGTTTCATGACCTCCCTTTATTGCAACACGGACAGATAAGCACTCATATGGTTAATGATTCAGACCAAACGGTGAGTAAGGTGCTAACGATGAATTCATAGGTCATTTAAGGAATGCATGTGAAATTAATTCACACAGCGGTGTCTGCGATCTGACTCTCCAGAAGGGTGCCTGTGTGCAGGTCAAAAGAACCATATTTGGGGCAGGCCGGTCTCAGCTCTCGCTCACTTGTGATGCCTGTGACACAGAGGACGCTGAAATGCCAGAGGTGGCAGGAGAGAAAAGGCCAGAGGCTCTGACAGTCCTCCGCCCTCGGCTATCGGAGTCTGCGGAGGTGAACCGCGGGAAAGGCCGTGCCTGAGTGAGGAACCGGCTGGACACAAGACGGACAAGGCGAGGAAAAAAGGAAATAAAGGCTTAATAATCCTCTCAACCTTTGACTTCGGTGGCCCCTGCGTGGCAACATCCTTTCAACCATAAAACTGCTTTAACCTT